TCAGTACGGTAAAACTAACCTGTCTCACAACGATCTAAGCTTTGTGACATGGTGCATTATCCTGTTGGAATTAGCCATCAGAGGATGGGTACATGGTGGCCATAAAGGGATGGACATGGACAATGCTCGGGTAGGCTGTGGCATTTAAATTATGTCCAATTGGCACTAAGGGGCCTAAAGTGTGTCAGGAAACCATCCCCCACACCATTACACCACCACCAGCAGCCTGCACAGTGGTAACAAGGCATGATGGATCCATGCTCTCATTCTGTTTACTCCAAAATCTGAAACTGAAACTGTGGGTCCTAAGCCACTGAATCTGACGGAGTGCAAGCACGACAGTCAAGAGCAACGCAGGATCGCCCCGCAGTAGCCTGCTAACTTGGCCTTATACTCGCGGACCGTTGTCCCGCAAAGGATCATCCGCCCACCGAGAAAGCTGTGGTAGACCAACCAGGAAAAATATTCCAATGCTCTACAACAGCTGCCAACTCCTGCTGCCGAACTGACATCTACTATTTAACTCATAGTTGGGAGGCAAAAGGGGTACTGTCACTTGCCTAAGGTGAGCCCCTATGACTTGTGGTAGGGCGGGGTCGTCTTACTCTCCCATACAGGTCCGTTACACCTGCCCACTGCCCAGTTTTTTTTTAAATAAAATAACTTTTATTTAAATCATTCTGACATAAAATGACACACACACAGGAGAACACTGCTACACTCCACACGTACAGATCAGCGCAGCGATTGTTCACTGGATTCACTTTTTGGCATTGGAGGATTTGGGGGACTTGTTTCTGGGAGACTTGTTCCTGGGAGAATTCCTGAGCGTGGAGTCGAGAGGAGACCTGGCGCTCAAGGCTGAACGCAGGGACTGGCCACGCCGGGAGACTTGCGGGCACTGTTACGCAGCTTGTTGAGGCCTACAGATGAAAGGCCTACGTTCTTGTTTAGATTCCTTCGCTCGGCCGGAGAGTTTGGAGGTCTGTTTGGACTGTTTCCAAAAGTCTCCGTGCGCGTGTGGAGGGCCTTCCCTTCAGAGTTGACGGCACTCCTGAAAACACCTGGGGCTGAGCTAAGAGTTTCCATGATGGAGGCTGCATCTGAGGTTTTCGTCCTTTGTAGAAGGAAACAGCCGGATTGGTTCCTTGCAAGCTCTGCTATTCTGCTCCCGGCCCTAGCTGACAAGCGTGCTGCCCGTCTCAGTGCTCTCCAAGACAGTAATGATTCCACCATTGCTCATTATCATAAGGTCAGGAATGACGTCAAGCATCTTACACGCCAGGCCTATGAGCAGTACTGGCAGGACCTCAGTGAGAAAGTAGAACAGTGTGCAAGAACTGGGGACATACGCGGCATGTACAGCGGCATCAATGAGGCTCTGGGTCCTACAGTGAAAAGAAACAGCATCCTTGCGAGCCACTGATGGCCACATTGTCAATGATCTCCCAGGCCAGCTTGGTAGATGGGTAGAGCATTAAAGCTTACTGTATGGCACTCCTGTGGATGCTGACTTTAACGCTGTTTCTGCTGCTGTACCAAAACTACCTGTCCTTAATGAGTTGGATATGGAGATCTCAGCAATGGAAATAGAGCACGCAATCGCAGCTCTTAAGAACAACAAGTCACTGGGCAGCGATGGAATTCCAGCAGAGCTGCTGAAGTGTGGTGGGGCCAGTGCTGGTCAGGCGGCTTCACTGCCTGTTTCGATGCTGTTGGCAGAACAAATGCATCCCTAGTGAACTCAAGAATGCCAACATTGTCACTCTTTATAAAAATAAGGGTGACAGGCAGGACTTCAACAACTACCGAGGTATTTCGCTCCTTAGCCTTCCGGGCAAATGCCTTGCCCGAGTAATCCTTCCAAGGCTGCAGCGCATTGCTGACCAGGTGCTGCCAGAGAGTCAGTGCGGCTTCCGTGCTGGTCGTTCGATCTTGGACATGATTTTCTCGGTACGCCAGCTTCAGGAAAAGTTTGCGGAACAGCAACGCCCATTGTGTTTGTTGATCTGACTGAGGCTTTCGATTATGTGAGTCGCTCTGGTCTCTTCCATGTTCTGCAGCGACTCGGTTGTCCGGCAAGTCTTTTGGCAAGACTCCGAGGCTTCCATGATGGGATGCGGGCAACCGTACAGTTCAACGGTGCCCGCTTAAATGAGTTTGATGTCTGCTGTGGAGTAAAGCAGGGGTGTGTCTTCGCTCCCACCTTGTTTGGCATCTATTTCTCGGCCGTGCTGGGACGGGCGTTTCCTGATCCGGTTGGGGTTCTGCTGCACACTAGGTATGATGGAAACTTCTTCAGCCTGGCTCGTCTGAGGGACAGAACCAGGGTGAAATGCGTCCTTGTGCATGAGTTACATTACGCAGATGACGCTGCCTTCCTGGCTCACACTGAAAAAGAAATTCAGGAGATGAGCAATTCTTTTGCTGCTGCCTGCACAGATTTCGGACTTACCATAAGCCTCAAGAAGACAGTGGTGATGGCTCAGAACGTTCCTGCTTCCCCTTATGCACCATCAATGGCACAGTGCTGTCGGCTGTCGAGAAATTCATCTACCTCGGCTCAACCTTGACGGCAAACAACACGCTTGATGCTGAACTAAATACCAGGATCGGTCCTGCCTCAACAACTTTTGGGCGGCTTCAGTCTCGCGTCTGGAACAACAGCCATCTTTCTCTCAAAATAAAGGTGCGCGTATATGAGTCCTGTTTGCTTTCCGTCCTGCTATATGGAAGCGAAACGTGGCCTACATACCTGCGGCAGGAGCACAAGCTTAATGCTTTTCATTTCCGTTGCCTACGACAGATCCTTGGCATATCATGGCAACGTCAGGTCCCGAACACGTGCTGAAGCTCACTAACAGCAGTGACATGTACACCATGCTCCGGAGGAGGCGACTCAGATGGATCGGCCATGTACAGTACGTCGTATGTCATGATGAACGTCTCCCAAAGTCCATTTTCCATAGGGAGTTAGCTGTGGGACACCGCCCTCGTGGCTGACCAAAGCTCCGCTTTAAGGATGTCGTCAAGCGGGATATGAATGTCTTCAACATTAACCCTAACAAATGGCATAACCTTGCGGAAGACCGGGCAGCTTGGCGGTCTGCGTTGACAGAAGGCACAACTCTGTCCTGTCATGCTTACACCAGCTTTTGCACAGAAAGACGGCATGCTAGACACCGTTCAGATCGGCGTTTGCGCTGTAAAAGGTATTGATGATATATATATATATATATATCATAGGATAAGGATTCTTTGACTCAAGTTCTTCTACGTTCAAAAGAACTGTATGTTTTTGAAGTAGATCATCTTTAATAATATATGTCTTTATGGTCACTTTTGTTCAATTTATATTTTTGCATCCTTGTTGAATAACAGTATTAAAAACAAACAAACAAAAAAAAATCTTATTGCCCCCAAACCTTTTTGTTTCTATAGCGCAATTTCATATTTTCATACAATTGTATACAATTTTATTATTATTAATTGTATATATATATATATATATATATATATATAAGCTATAAAAGAGAGCACCTTTCTTTTGAGGCTGTATTCTCTGAAGACAAACTTCTTTGTCAATACAGTTTTAATTGATCAGGGCTCAGATGTACGACTACAGGAATGAAGTGATGACTATTCTATGGGAGGGCAGATGCCCGACGTCCCTGGCAACAGTGAGAGACTGCATGGGCGTCACTAGTAGTTATGCAACTTGCTAACACAGACCGAGTGAGAGAGTGAGCGCTTTCATTAAGGACACTGAGAGCTTGGCAGGGGTCTGTGCCATTTCATGTACAGAGAGCCAGAAATCACCCCACTGCTATTGCTATAAATAACGATTTCCATTCAGTGATGGATGTGGTGACATAAAAGTTGTTTTGTGTTTACCTTTTTACCTTCTTATTCTCTTCCCTTTCGGGGTTCCTGGGAAAAGGTCCCTGGCTTTTTCAAAGCATGACAGGTTGATAGACAGGAATGGGTTCAAAGAACCCGTAACCTTAACACACAGCTGTCTGAGCCTGAGGTCTTCGTGATCATACAGACAGATGACGTTGGATGGTAAACAAAGAATAAATAATCAGATAGCCAGTTTCATATGATATTGGTAGGAGTCTTTCCTCAGATAGAAAATTATGGAAGCTTTCGGAGATATACATCAGGGCCTTGGTGTTGGCCGCAAGCATTTAATGTTTACATTTATTTTAGGCTAATTTAATGCTTTTTATAATAAATAATTTAGGCCTACAAAAAATAAATTTTCAATAAATTTATTAAAATGAAAAAACAACAACAGCAACTACCAGTACCACAACAATATGAGTATGTGGCTTGTAGACCCTTGATCTATTGAATGGCAAACGTTATAAGAACTTTGGCGCCCCCTGTAGGAAACATTTATGTTTTACATAAAATACATCACTCCAAAAGACATGCATCTTGACTTTGAATATTTTGTTTGTTTATTTTATGATTCCTTCCAAGGAATTACTGTTTAAAAAAAGGCCACACAAAGCCATGTCAAAACACACAAATATATCCAAACAAAAATGGAACCTACATCCAACAGTTCCAATTTGTTAATTACATGTTAATAATCTATGTAAATCCATTATATATTTCAAACAAAGAAAGCCCATGGGGTAAAATATTTTTTTTTTTATTTCAACAGAGATATTGTTTTAGAAAAAACAGCTCTCACTTTAACCATATAATATAATATAATATAATATAATATAATATAATATAATATAATATAATATAATATAATATAATATAATATAATATAATATATACGCACTCTTGAATCCTTATGATGCGTTTAGGGCAGAGCCATGGGCACTAATCTGGGGGCAACTTTCTTCGATACTCCAGCAAATGCATCTGATTGGACATTCGATGCAGCGCTGCAGTAACTGTCCAATCATGTGAAACAAAGGTGGGGCCTCGAACAGCGGTGTTTCAACTGTCCAATCAGCTGCGAGTAAGGTGGGGCATTAAAGCTGATTCACTGGGAGCGAGTGAGAACTACAATCTGCTTAGACTCAACAACACGGTATCGGTATGTAAATATTCTTCATGTGCACTTGATTTTTGCCTTGTCGCTGTGTTATTTACATACTGTCGACTTAATTTGCGTAATAATCTTGAATTATTTTCAGAGATTTATGTTATAGGATAAATATTTAAGTTACCATGAAACTAACGTTATAACAGTATGTCTCACATGTTGCAACAGGTTGTTGTAAGCGCGTGTGCTTTGTTTACATTGGCAGCAGGGTATGTTTAATACGTGGCAAAAAGTTATCAAATATCTGAACACGGATAGATGGAAGATGTTTTTATGTGAAGTAGTTGTAATAAGGATACTTTTCTAGTTGTTTTTGTGCCATTGTTACATGTTGGAGCATGTTTTGCCCATTTGATAATAGAACACAGGGGATTGTTGTTGTCTGATCAGCATTAAGACGATAATGAAAGGAAATCATATCTGATTATGTTCTTGTGCGACACGAGCATTTTCTGCAGCTAAAATTATTAAAAAATTAAAAGTCCCAGTACTTTGCCTAGTTTGTTGTTTCACTCATCGATCTGCTACAATTGTATAATGCATACATTTATCTATGGTTGTCACATTTTATTTTTGATACATGTATGACGCCATTTTTGCATGTTAAGAATTTTTGAAGGGCTCATCAATGATTTTGAAGACCCCTTAGTCATTAATTTTACCAAGGTTACCACAGTAAAAAAAACAAACAAAAAAAACAAACAAAAAAAAAAAAAACAAGAAAAATATTCCTTGAAATGTGATGAAATCCAGCATGTTTTCATAATTTTTTGAATAGATAAATAAATAAAATAATCATTGGCTAACTTTAATTATATTTTTAGTCAGTATTCAGACTGTCTTAAAAGTTCAGGTGATACTTTAAAGGTTGATGATTCATGCTGCACTGCATATATTTCTGTCCAATCAAATACTTTCTAAAGTTGCGTTTCTAAAATGCCCCTTCTAATACCTTTGTTATGTCACACCTCAGTTTCAGGAAATTCATCAACAGACAAAATAAAATGGCTCTTGTCGAGAAGATCTTTAATGACAGTGGTGGACAATACTAAAATTACCAAAGTTTTTTGTACTCACAATAACTAGTAAATATGGTAGCCTATGGTACATACACCGTGGTTACCATGGTAAATGTTTGTAAGAGGCGTTCAGTTCCTCAGGGAATAGTGAAACTGAAACTGCTGTGAAAAGTATGTGGAGGCGGAGGTGCCCATGTTTTTGTTGTTTTGTATAGTTATGTGAGTAACATGTCAGAAACCTTTTTCTTGCCGACTCATTGCTAGAAAGGGGCTTGTAGAAACACACGAATTCCAATGTCCTTGCTAAGATTTACCACACTATGAAGCACTATTCTATTTTATTATCTAAAATCTACTCCTAGACTAACCCTAAATAAATATGGCATTTCAGATATAAATCAATACATAATGAATAGACCCTGTATGAACCTTTATCAGGTTTTGAGATTGACATTTTTATCGACATACAAAATTTTGTTCCCACATATATGTGTATTTTTACCTGCATTAACTCAATTATATTTAGTCTCACTTATGTAAAAAGAAGTGTTGTAGTTGTCAGCTTACACTATTTATCTCCTTACACTGGCTACAAGTGTAGCTATCTAGGGGTAAATGTCCTTCATTTGCTGCATTTATTTGTCCCAGGTGGTGGATTGACCTTTTTACCTATACATGGATTCAGTTACTTGTATTTGTTTTTACTCGTTTTACTTGTTTTGGAACCGGTGGCAGTGTCTTTGAAGACTGAGCGCAGCAGGATTTTCTGGTAGTGTCTGGAGATTATGGTGTTATTCATGTGAGCTTCGCTGCTCTGTAAACAGTTTCTCTGTAAACTTGGCATGAAGCTGAGAACTTTTGGGAGGCAGGGGGTTGTATGCGCTTTTTTATTAAAATCTAACCAGTCTTTGTTGTCTTTTGGTGCATTGCTGAGACAGCCCAGCATGCCCACTCCATGAGATAAAGCTGTAGGGAATGGCAGAGTCTCTTGCCAAGCACAATACGGGACATGTGCGGGAGTTAAGGTGACTGATCTGGCTCTGCTCTGGCCCCTTGACTTGACTGATGCAAAACAAAACTAGACCACTCAAATCTTCTTGATCACTTCTTCAATTATAATCAAGCTGTCTGGAATCAAACACCTGTTTTTGTCACATTGCAAAACTACCCCAGCCACATTTTTACTTATTATTTAATTATTTACAAATATCATACTGTATGTCTGATGGAATGCAATTAATTTCATCTGTCATTTATTTTGACACCATAGACCCAGTTTTATTTTTTATACTTATAGTATTTATTAATATTTTGCAGTAGCTGACATTTTTATATTTTATTTCAGTTCTAGTTGTAGTAACTGTGTTATGAGCTTTTTAATTTTTCTTAGTTTGTGTCTTTAACATGCGCTCCTCTGACTCAGACACTATAGTAAATAATGTTTTTCTTCTCATGATGTGATGATGCACCTGATGCTTGTGCTCTGCTACGGTCACATGTAGACCGTCGGTAACAACCATGCATTTTGAGGTCCAGGTGTGGCTTGACATTGGAGCACCGCCACAAAGATAATAACTGTTTATTCCTGCATTTTAGACACCTTGTTTTTCCTTTTTGGTTTGTTTGTCTTCTTTACTCCTATCCTCCTATCCACATGTACTGTGTGATGCAAATTCACTAAGACTGTGAGCTCTGACAGCAGGAAATTATGCAGCATCTATAAGCACAGTCTGAATTATGATGTCATGCATGATCATGAGCTCGCGGATGGTTGTGTGAGTGAGAGATTTGACACTGTAAGAGAGTTTTGCGGGCCAGCTTTGCCAGACGTCCGAATATTGTGCACATATCTTGTGGATGACTGCATGCACCACTGACATAACTGACAGACTGCCAAAGCCCTGAGAAGTGGATGGAAGTTTTGTAAGATTTTGCAGCTGCACACATTGGTGGTGTTGCTTTGAAATTCTGGCTGCACACTCTGAAAGGCTCCAGAGAGCAACTAAAATGGCAAGAATTCAAAGTTTTCACAATAATTTAAAATCTAGTCAGATAGTGGAATTTCATTTGCATCTGTGTGTGTTTGCTAGATTTGATGAAGTAAAATTGTCTGGGTTCTGTCGCTTTGGTCTGTTTATTCTTGGTTTGGTGACAGAACTCGGACACTCCCATTGTCTTGGGATGGTAAGCATGCGGTTCCGAGTTTGCTCATTACAACATGAGTTGTTTGTTTGATGTGTGGACCGGAGGGTGTTCGGATCCCTGCAATAGTTTGGTAAGTCCGCACATTAAAAATGACTGGTGACATGGTGCCTGATGAAACATTGCCTTTTAATAAATCCTTTGGAGCAGTAATTTTTAGTGTGCGGACTTCACTCTTCTTTATTAGTTTTAGGCCATTTCACAAGTTCAGAGAAAATGGTGGTAACTCAGGTTGTTTCGTTTAGGACCTGAAAGCCCTGTCTATTTTTTTTAAAGTCCTGTCAGCATGGTTTTATTTTTGTCAAGTTAAAACATGTATATTTATAAGTCAGAAGAAACTTTTCACTTTTAAATACAGTTACATGACCGGACAAGAAATGGCTGAGGAAAATAGTGCTGATAGACGCCATCCAAATCAGTAAATGACGGCTGTTGTTTTGCAGTAAGTATGGGTGTTGTGAGATGTTGAATGAATTCGCTAGTTGGAGGGAGGTGCTTGCTTTGTTTGGTGTGAAAAAGGGGGCTGAGGAAGGGTAGCATGTAGCCGGATTGTGAATGCAAAGGAGATTAATCAGAGTGAAAAAAATGTTACGGAATTGGCTCCAATTTACTAGATTGTCCAGGACGTCCAAGTGTGTTTCCTCTATTAAAGTGTGTTTCCTGCATGGTCTTGATTTAGGAGAGAAAATAGGCCCCTCTCTGATGTGGAAAAATCCTGATCACAATGGTTCTCGGCTTTTGTTACTGTGCCTTTCCTCCTTTGTGACCTTTGAAGGGCATCGGTGACTTTAAGGTGGTGCATTTGTCACCCAGTTCCTTGTGAACACTAATGAGACATTAGAGTGCATTGGTCCTTGACACAAACTTTGATTATATTACACTGCTTTAATGTATGATGTTGCATCTAAGAAGCCAGAGGGGCGGTAGCCGGTAGTAGTTTTTTGTGTTATAAATAGTTTTCAGTTGTCAGACATTTATTAGTAGTCTTTCCTGTGGCTTCACACAGCCTCCATCCGGTATTGAAAGGTCGGGGTACATGTTGTTTTCTGTTTGGCAGTCAAAAACACTTACACAAGCTACTGCTGCAATTCTTGCTGGCAAAGCCTCAAATTTGCAACCTTTTTGTATTCTCAACAAATGCAAACATAGTTTATCCTGTAAAGCCAGTAGAGCAATTTTGTAAAGTAAATAGAACGATTCTTCAATATTTTGAATGAGCAATAGGGCTGGTCAATATAATGGGCCTTTAGATTATATTTTGTATTATTTTTTTGACTATTCAAAATCACACAATATATTGGGATTATTTAAATGCACTTTTTTGTTGTTGTTAAAACTATTTTGTGCCCATACACTCATTGTGGCAAAACCTGAATGAAATCAATCATTAGGACAGACATTTTAATAACATCTTAACTTAACATAAATTAGCAAAGTTGAAAAGTTTGATCAATTTCAAATAATCTATTGTATGGAAGTTCACAATTGATCAAAAGTTACATCAAAAATCTTGACAAATCACAAATGTTTTCAACATTGACAGGAATAAGAAATGTTTCTTGAGCATCAAATCCACTTATTAAAATGATTTCTGAAGGATCACATGACATGCATACTGTTCTGTTTAAAAAACAAGCCTTTTTATTGTATTTATTTAAAAATTTTTTGACTCTTAATAGCAACAATAACTGTTTGGCCGGTAGTTTAAAAGTAAAATACCTTCATATTGAAATGGATCAAATCCCCAATGAAAAATGTATTTTTTTTTCTTCTTAAGCCTTCCTAAGGTGGGCATGGCGTTCAAGATTTGTTGGAGTGAGACAAAGTTACCAGGTGCAAGCAACTGAAGACACAAGACAGAACAACTCCCCATGGCTGCTAGAGCCAGTAGCAGAACTGAAACTCCGAGACCGGGGTGGGTCGCTTTTTCAGACGAGGAGTCACAGGCAGGTCAGTACAAACACTGTCTTTACTCCCAAGTCACTAGATATTTTGTGGGTTCAGTTTTCTGGTATCAAACATGGGAAAAAAATGTACACCTTGAATACTGTGCTGATGGAAAAAATGTAAATGTAAGTACCTATTTGACCAGTCAATAATAGACCTTCTTTCAGAGATAATCTTCAGTCTTTACAATGTTAGGTAATGTATAAAGGTACTAGGTCATGTAATTTTCAGAACTCGCAACTTTCAAAACTGTTTCATGGAAGTTTGTTTTATCAGCTGAACAATTGGCATGTTGTGAAATCGCAGGATTAACCAATTGAACAAAACTGTACTTCTATCCCTCACAGCCTTACTTTCATTTGTGTAAAGAGTGTATTATGGCACTACCTTTCTCAGTTTTACACAATTGGAAAACCTTGTCCAATCTTGGAAAGAAGGATTGCTGGATTTTTAACTTTACATGGCAAATAAAGGCTATGGATGACGTTCTTGTATCTAGCTGACCATTCATAAGGAATTTATGCAACCTTTTGTGGATTGGGTATCAGTTTGTTTTACTCTGTCTGAGTTTTGTGTTCAGACCTTTCCGTGAGATTCCTGTGTCTTTGGGTCAGTGCTCCATAGTGATTACTGCGGGAACGGTCCAGAGCTCTTGCACCCTGCTAGATTTAACATTCAGCTGTGACATTTCAACTGAGCAGAGGCTGTATTTCACTTACCGTGTTTGTGTATTGTTTCTTCTGCTCTGTAGATGAGGACCCCCTCCAGCCCTCTTTAGACCAGCCTGTGCTGGACTGCTCTACATGGGCAGAAGTACCATGTGTACGTGGCCACAAGACAGAGCAGACGAATTCCTGGGTTCAGTTTGATGACAAACCATGGTTACCCTCTCCTCCTCCCTCAACGCAGGTAAAAGGTATGAGAACATCTTAAATCTGTTTTTTTTTTTTTTATTGCATAAAAGGTGGAATCTCACTTTGGGATTCACTTGCTATGCTCCCTAAGGGATGTTCGGGATTCAATACAATACGCCGATTTTACGCAGCTGCTACTTTTGAAACCGAAAGCAAGGCTCCAATGGGAAGAACCCCTGAAGTACAGATAGACAACAATGCCTTGGTCTACCAACCTGAAGCTGCTGCCGCGATTTACACTATTGGATGTTAATATCCAATATAGGATATGTATATATTTCCTTTAGTAGTGCATGATATATCGGCAGCCGATATGATAATTAAAAAAAAAAAAAATTTGCCGATGTGAACAGGCCGATAATCATTCCTGTGTATTTGATGTGTGTGTAGATGTGAGTGTGGGGGCGGGGATGTTTGTTTTTGCACAAGCGCATACATTACTAACGCAAGTCCTGTCAGTTTAAACATCAAGCAGAGGAAGACTCGAATGGGCACGCTGTTTTCTGTCAGCCTTACTAAGGCGTATTTTTGTCCATGACAAAACCACCCCAGTCATTCTACAATGATTCATTCTTTCCAAATAGAGCTCTGTTTGGAAAGAATAAATCGTTCTAGAAGGACTGGTTTTGTTATGGAGTAAATCCACAAAGAAACTTATACTAATAGAATGTTAACTAATTTAGTTATCTAGACTTTAATAAATGGAACCTTATTGTAAAGTTTTTCCGAAAAATAAAATATCCCATTGTCATTTTTTACCAATATCGTGTGGCCCTAATCATCACTATGTGTTTTCTATACAGAGATATCGGCCACAAATTTTCACATCGGCGCATCTCTAAGTTCGTTCCTGCTTCTTTTTTACGTTCGGAATTATATAAAAAAAATAATAATTTAATTTATAAATGAATTTCACTGTATACAGTCCAAAGTATGAAAGAAATGTATGTACATTTTTAAAACTAATTTCTACATTAAACACTACAATGCCATCACATTTGCGTCTCTCCTATGATTTTCTTCCCTCCGGAGCCATTTCAAAATGGCAGCTGCGTGAAATCAGCATATACAATCCATCATCCTTCAGTTTGTTTAAAAATCATTGACAATACTAGAAAACAGGGAAATGCAATTTAAACAGTTTCAAAAGGGATCATATTGTAAGGAAATAAGATCTTCTGAGAAAAGAGTTCTGTAAGGTTAAGGATTCCAGTCTTAAAAAAAAACAAACTTCCGACCATTTGTTGAAACTGCCCTGCTTTATTTATATATATATTGTAATTTTTTAATGAGGAATTTATGTAAGGGCATGTACAAGCTTCACATTTCTGCATTTCCTCTGTTTCATAAAAATAGTAAAAGTTTTTATAATGAGACTCAAAATAAACTTAAAATAATATGAGATAGATGCTTGCTCAACAAGTGAGTCATGTGACTCATGATATTGAAAATTCCCCTGGAGCAGCCTGGGATTATGCCTTGCTTGAGGGCACAAAGGCAACCTTTCAGTACCAGCCTTGAGCTAACCATTACAAGCTCATTTCAACAAGGATTTCCCAATGTTTTCAGTTTTCCTGAGAAACATTATTCTACTGATTCCTATAAATACGTTGACTTAGTTGGGTTGGGCTGATTAGGACTGTGTCACTTCCTTTAGGCCTGAGACTTGGTCTAGTCTTGCCTGTCTCTCTTTATCTCTGTCTGTCTCTTTTTTGCACACATTGACTCACCCACCCCCACTCTTGTCAAACCCCGCAGCTTTGCCAGCAACTCTTTCCCAGCAAATCTCCTGTGAGAGGCCGGGTGCAGCAACACGCAAATGACCAAACCCTTCAAACCCTAATTGAAGCCATAAGCAGAGTTTTCATCTCAGTGTTGTTGCTCTTGCATGAAATCTGCCTAAGGTTGAAGTCCAGGGTGCAGCCAGTCTATCATTCTTTCATAATATGATCACAAAGAGATCAAGTCTGGGTTTGTTAAAGTACTGCCTATTTACTCTGATTACAGGGGCTGTCCAACATATGATTTCAGGTTTGATGCCTTTATTTTCATGTGTGGTCTAGAGGAAGGTTTAGCAGCCAGGAAGCCAATGTCATGTTGGGTTTATCCAACCACATTGTCTTAAATTATTTATATTCGAAGACACCCAGATTCATATTATTTTAGATCAAATGAATTCTAAGGGGGAAGGGGAGACAAGAGTAAAAGCTGTTTATCTTTTATTGCTAATGCAGAAGAAACCTCACATTGCCATGGTTATATTAAATAAGTATATTGGGAACATAATGTGATTTATTGACTAAAAATCATTAGAGCACATTTGGATCCATCTGAACTTGTGATTATGGTGATATCAGTGGTTTGGGAACCCTTAGGAAAAGGAGTGTTTGGTGGAGTAATCCCACATGCACACATGTTTTCTTTTCTCATAGACTGAGTATATTATTCACATCTTTAAAACTATTCACTTTAAATATTGAGATTCCACTTATCACTTTGCAAGTTCCTAAACATACCGCCAAAAGCAAGTTTGTCTTGTTTTGCCCTTGGCAAGTAATATTCACTATATTCCTCTTAGTTGTTAGTTGACTGTACTTTTTTTTTTTGTCTTATACTTATCATAATCTTGACATATCATCATTTTGTCTTTGTCACTGTGATACAGTCAGATGATGTCAGTTCATTGATTCATTCAAACCACTTCTCTGATTGTTTTCTTCTTCTTGTGTAGCCTAATAAAGAAAAACATTTACATGATATCCATTCTTTATCCATTTCAACCCATGTCCCAAATTATTTCGATTTTTCTTATAACATTGAAACATTCTTCTTTAAGTTTTAAAGTACTACTTTTGTGAACTCTTTTAATTGAGCCCCAGGGGGAAATTCATTGAAAGGGAATAAAACCCTGTATGGTTGGATTTGTTGCTAGGCAGTGTACACATCCTCTTGGCATGTTTCTGAATCCCAATTGTTTGTTTAAGCATCAAAGTTGCCTACATGTATTGAAAGAACTGGAAGTGTGTCATGTGACTTCATATATTTACTCCAACAACCATTGTTGTTTGAAAGCATTATTCTATCTACATAGCAATTCAAAACATAAAAAAATATGTCCTGTGATAGCAATTACAGCAGTGCTAATTAAAATCATTGAGTAGATTGATTCAATTGTTTGACGAGGCTGATACACATCAGTATGCTGTGCTATCTCACCTCACCCTTGATGTTTAATCCTTTTACTAAAGCACTTTTCCCCACTGTGAATATTTAATAGTCAGTTGTCTTGTCCTAATTCAATAATAACACCTGTTCATTAGCAAGACACATTTATTTGCACACACACGTAGAAGGGTTGTGCACCATTCACAATAAAAAATGACAATGCCTTTATTTTTCACTCCAATTCAATTTCTGAATTTGAATCGAATCCTACTATTACAAATAGGAGGCAGAATTGTCGGTTGAATTTCAGTTTGAAAAGAAATAGTTTAAGGAAAGTATTTTCATTCCAATTCAATTTCTGAATTTGAATCGAATTCTACTATTACAAATAGGAGGCAGAATTGTCAGTTGAATTTCAGTTTGAAAAGAAATATAGTTTAAGGAAAGTAATTTAAGGAAATTAAAATGGAATGAAATTCAAGTAAAAATTATAGGAGCACTTATTTATACTAGCAATAAAAAGTTTTTTTATGTTTATTATTTTATTTTTAAAGAATTTGTTTTAACAAGGATGCTTTGATCAAAAGTGACAGTAAAGACTCAGATTCTATTTAAAAAAGCAGTTTACACACAAAAAAATAATATTAAGATAAACATCTTATCTTAAAATAAATATTACGCAGCAAAACTGTTTTCAACATTGATAATAATCAAAAAAAATGTTTTTTGAGGAGAAAATCAGCGCATTAGAATGATTTCTGAAGGATCATGTGATACTGGAGTAATGCTGAAAAAGCTTTTTCATCACAGTAATGAATTACATTTAAAAATATAATAAAATAAAACACAGTTATTTTAAATTAATTATGTATTTGGATCAGTAAATGCAGCCTTAAGAGCATACGCAACTTCCTTATTTTTGGATGAACTATTTCTATTTCAATCCAGAATTTTGCTTGTTCATTTGTTCATACTTGCTACATGCTTGAGTATGTACCACAAATGTTTATCTCTATAAATATATTTCTTTTTTTTTTATTACAGGTCCCAGACACAGCATTTGCTCTTCAGCCAGTTTCTGGAGTACCGTTCCCCCTTCAGAGAGCAGCTGGACCACCCAATCAGAGGAGCAGAGCTCCGTGAGCATGGGGGCGTCTTCCTGTGACCTGCCCTCTCTTAGCACCGAAGAGCCACCCAGTCAAACACCCTCCTGTCCTCACTCTCCAAGTGAGTACCACACACACAGTCTATACTAGTTAATAAATGGGTAACTCTCATCATCTGAATGTGTGCAAGTGGCGTTTTATATTCACCCAATGCCTCAAACAGTAATCAAAGTCTGTCCCCCCGTGAGAAGACAGAAGGAAGTGAGAATCGCACAGGAAATGCTTCACACGCTGAATTATCCATCAATAAATCCCTTCCGTGGCTCAGCACAGCCTCCAGGGTCGCATCCTGGAACACAGGCGGAATGAAAAGACGGCAGTTTTAGGAGTAAATGATGAAGGAATCGAGACAAATAAATTCTTGCGGTCTTTGACAGCTGCTCCTCAGACGCTCCTCTCGTGTGAGTGATGGTGGCTCTGAAGGAACGCTGTGCTGATTTGAGGCAGGACGCTCTTTCTCTCTCTCTCTCTCGCAGGTAATTTGCGGCGGAGCGAGTAGCGCTCCTACACGATCCATCTCAGGCCTCTCGCCTCAGCCCTCCAGCAATAGCTCACTCAGACCAGGGTTTCTATGGAGACAGGAGAGGGTGAGGTGCTTAAGACGGTTTTATTTATTAAAATGCAGCATGCTTCATTTCTCAGACTGAGGGAAGATGAAGTCACTGCAACAGAATTTTTACCTCAGGGAGAAGTGAATAGCAGTGCATGATATTGAGTGTTAATTAAAGCAGATGTTACTCTAAATAGTCAACTGTGTAATTATGACAAGCTGCACTAGAGTTTTATCATAAAAAGTTTTGAACATGCTTTAAAAAAGAACATAAGAAATATTCTTCACTTTTTTTTCTTTTTATTTGTAAGAATGTACACTATACAATTTAAAAGTTTGCGGTCAGTAAGGTTTTTAAAAAGAAATTGAAAACTTTAGTCAGCAAAAATTAGTTAAATTGATCAAAAGTTAGTTTAAAGATTGCTCTTTTCAAATAAGTCCCGAAGAAATTTGTTTCCATAAAAATATTAAGCAGTGCGACTGCTTCAACATTAATAAGAAATCTTTCTTGAGCATCAAATCAGCATATTTCAATGATTTCTGATGGAAGACTGGAGTAAAATTCAGCTTTGTCATCACAGGAATAAATTACAGTACAATTTTACTGTATTTTTTAATCAAATAATAATGGCCATGGTTAACAACTGACTTCTTTCAAAACATTACAATTTTAAATGGTAGATTAAGTCTGCTTTAAGTTACTTTGGATAGTATCATAACGGAATGAATAATCTGTGTATAATAATCCATCTATAATAAAAATCTTAATGATAATCTAACTGCTTTTGTACTTTTTATTCTGAAGAATATGCAATTAGAAAAAAAGGTGTTCTGAGAGTTCGGTGTTTGGTCGCTTCTCTGCTTGGCCCATATTGAATGAACTGGGCTAGTTAAGTGCTATCAAAGTGTCTCGTGCGCCAGAGCGATCGTTTGCACGCACTGAGACGAGAGAGGTATGTATCAACTCGTCTTAGTTAAGGGAATAACATAGTTTATTATGGAAAAAAAAATGGAGTGGAGTATCCCTTTAATGCTAATCTCTGGTCTCTTGATATGACTTGGTTTGCTCCATGGGATTTTTTTTTTTTCATCCATTGTATCGGCCACATGTCGGCATACCTGTCCTCAACAAACCTGAAGATTTGAGGTGTCATCCATTCCTTTAGTACAAATAATCTACATGCTAATTAAAAATTTGCAGTAGTAATAACAATCATCAAGTCTTTGTTGAAACATTTGGGGGGTTTTGGATTTTCCATATGGCCTGTCTATGAGAGACACCATTAGACCTACCCACAGGCCTTTGCTCCTGCTCTCACCATGTTGAAATCTTGGCAGCAGGGTGTTGTTCTGTTTGTTTTCCTTTCACCATGTGACCCATGGGTGTTTTGTCCATGATTGTTTATTTACATCTGAATTGAGGATAAATGTGCTTGTAATTGCTGATTATTTGTGTACATAGTCCGCTGTAATTGTTCGACCTGCTTTCACTGTTTGTACACATTGTACATCAACATTTTATTTTTCTAGTGAATGTTCTTGGTTTGTGCTGTGTGTACTTTAAACCCAGTATGCCAAACGTTTTCTTTAGAGGGATTCTTTGTCTGTGATTTACAGCTTTTATTCATGAATGAAACATGGTTAGCTATGAATGTGTCATTGTAAGTGGAGATCGGACACGAGTGAATATGAATATTTATGCAGCAAGGCAGGTTTTTATGAAAGCTTTTTGTTGGGACGTGCAGTGCATAAAGGATATACAATGCACATTTTCATTTCCTTCTTATTCCATAGCCGGTGGTACATAAGAATAGTGTTGTTCATAGAGATGCATTGGGTGTGTGCGCTCAAGAGAGGAAGAGAAAGAGCTTGTGTGTATGTGGTTTCGTCATATCCAGTGGAGCCCACACAGAAGGACATTGTCGTCAGTTTACAAATCTCTACAGGGAACAACAGAAGTAAACTGTAATCTCAGATCAGTAGAGGTTATAGAGTAGAGCAACAGCTTGTTTAAGAGCACATCCTGCTGGGAATCTTGCATGCTTCCTCACCGTCTTTGACCTTTGACCCCTGCAAATGTCCTCGCAAAACACTCGCCTCCTGTGATTCACACCTGCAGCTATCACTCGTTTCACATTATAGGAAAGATCTGCCTCCTGCTCACCAGCATAGTTTGACAAGATTTTTTTTACTTGTTTGACTAGTTTGAGAGTTTAAAATGGGCATTTAAAATGACAATAATCAGTTTAAATGGGTGTAGTAAATTCTGCTGTAATCCCCTATTAATGCTCTGGGTTTGTTTAAAAGGACTGATCTGAAACCAGCAAAATAAAGGTCACTAGCTAAGTGCTGAAAGGATTGAGCGATTTCAAAGCAGATCAAGACATCAGTACAAACACAAGCTGTCACCCATTTGTCGCAAGTCGTAGTTTGCAGTCAGATGCCGGTTGACTTGCACATTTTATAGCTGTATGCTGCACACTATCATGTTACTGATGAGTCAGTTTCTGCATCAAATTTCCACATACGGTAATGTCTTCTCTTTTATGTGACACATAATCTGGATGTTCATGGACATGGTTACAGACAAAACATGAGAGAGCTAACATGGGCGACTTTCTGACCTTGTTTCCCGCTAGTCGTATTTTTAAAGAATGCATTTCTGTGTTGTGGGGTGGCAGAGTTTCTGTAAAGACAGCTAAATGCCAAATACTTCAGACTCCTCCTGAGAGGGAGGCAGGCAGATCAACAAGCATCTACATGTCTGTGCGGGCACTCCAGGGACAGAGGGGGTCATGTGACCTGCGTCTTACTACTTGGTGCCTTAGTGAAATCTCACAATCGGTGTCCCATCTGTTTTCTCTCTTTAGCACCTGGACTCTTGACTGCTATACTGGTGAGTCTGTTTCCCTGCACTGTTGCTTTGTGGCAGGATTTGCATAGTGTTTGTATAAAAGTTGTGAATGACTTTGATTTATAAATGCTTCTGGATCAACATGGTTGTGATTATGAGTTTTGATTTTCACCATTCTTCCTCTTTTAAGAAACATATGACATGGGCATCTTTCATTGCTGATTGAGCCTGCATTCATCTTTCAGTTCTGTATTTTAAGATTGTGTAGTTTGTTTAAAACAAGAAGCGGTGTGCGAGTATTTGTTGGAATCACTTGGCATAGCTTATATAGCCCTGGGATCAGCACTTTATTTGTTGGAAGTTTAAAGAAATACCAGTTAGTTGATGCTTAGCAACAGGCTTTTGCTTTTTTATGATTTACTCAGTAGAACGGAGTAAGGTAACTTAAGCAATTTTGCTTAAGCAAATTGGTCATGTTGGAAGGATATTTAAAGTACTACTATTAAGATTTTACCGGTAAAAAAAATATACACTGAATAAGAAAACAAATTTTGCTGAGTATACGTGTGTTTTGCAATTAAACTGCAGCTTTGTTGGAAGAAAAATATTGATAATATTGTCAGTTTGTTAGATGATTTATTTATTTATTTATTTTTTTGTGAATTTAACTTGGAGTTGGTTGGACCTAGAACATTTGTTCTGATGGTTACAATTTGTATCTCACCCTCTGGCTGATTTGATGTAGCTCTTGTAAGAACATGAACAAACTTGCTTTGAAGGTGTGCAGATTCTGTTCATAAGTATTCATGTTTGGGGCATTGCACTTACAGGAATAATTTTTTTTCTGAGCTGGGATAATCTTTTAACCTCCTTCCTCCAGGGCTGACAAGATCTGAGTCTTGAAGTCTCTTTATGTCTGTGGTTGCTTCTGTGTGTGCAAATGCTGTGTATTCTTTTATTACTTTCTGGTATAGGAACTGTTTCAGTTGAGTAGATTTGTAATATGATAAACCCTGTTGAACTTAAATCAAAAGATTAGCAAAGCCACAAGCCATAGTGCATACACACTCATATTAAATAGTAAATGTTTTAAGAGACTGGGAAAAGGTATAGCCTGAACAATTCAAGTACACATTATTAGCTGTTTATGGATTTTGCTCTATGATTCTTTTACAGATCATAAAAAGGGTTGTTTGTGGCTTTTGATTTGGTCTGTAATTCAATTTCAGATCATATCATTGCTGTTTGTGAATTTGCATGTCAGTCTGGGAGTGCATATATGCTCTCATTGCATAGTGCAGTCATGCCAGTTTTCAGCCTGTGAGACCATTCACTGAGTGCTTTGTTGCATTGGCAGAGAAAGTAGGTCTGAGGTGGGGAATGCTGGTGCCTAGCAACAGGTAAAAACTCTCGCTCTCTCTAATTTGGCATTGGAGAACTGCAACAGACAAGAGTTTGAGCTTGATTTTAAAGTACCAAGAGAGCAGAAGGATTCATTAATGAATGAAAGATCATTTTTGCTATCACTCTTATTTATGCTTATTTGCCTAAGGTACATTTATAATCAGTCTCTCCTTTTTAAATTAAACTTGTACATGATGATATTTAAAAATAAATAAATAAATAAATGACTGTTTTAGTGTGAAATCAATCTTTGAAGTCAATCTTTTGAAATGTAATAGTACTTACTGAGTCAACATGAAGGCTGTGTTGAACTGTTGCTTGGGATAAATTATAAAGTAATTGTGGATTAGGGTAAAAATATGTCATAAATAGTCTAATTATGCACAGCTAAATAGGAGAATTTCACACAAAGTAATGCAAGCTCTCGTGGTCTGTATAGCCTCTATCCTCTGTTATCTTGGTGTAACTACCTGTATAAAGATTTTTTTTTTTTTAAGAAAGAACTCAGACTGAAAATGTATTTTTCGTAAAGTAACTTACACCTCTTGTTATGAAATAATAATATATCTGTATTGAAAATAATGTGTAGCATGTGAAAAGAGAGTGATTGTATATATAAGTGCTTGTGAATTGTAGTTGATTAGAAGCTGTCTCCCTTCTCTTAGTGGAAATGTCTTTCTTTCTTTTTTTTCTTTATTTAGACCTAAATAGTCCAACCATTGTGACCTTTCAGAAATAGGTTTCAGAAATAAACTCAAAGGGCAGTGGAAACACCAAGAAAGTCATCCATTTTCTTGTTTATTGCATTATGTTTGCCTCTCATAAATATGACATGTGTCTTCGTTTCTGTTGATTCCTGTGAGGGAATGCTTCTGTTATAAAAGTATTTATTATTAAATGTCAGAGAGCTTAAATTTTATCTGAAAGTGTTAAAACAACTCTGTCTTCTTTTTTTATTGATAGATTCTTCTGTGTGCCAAGAGGATGAAGAAATAACCATGGATTCGTTCAACTGTACAGCAAATAACCAACACACTAATGGCCATTCATATGTCACCTCCAACCACTTTACAAGTTGGGTTACTTTTGATGATGATGAGGACATCCAGTCTCCAGGGAGACCTTCTAATATAAAACTGGATAATCTAAACAATTCGCCACTGCAGGATGCCAACAGCAACTTGATTTCATCTTCCATTTTTGGTCAGATGACAGAGAGACACATCCTGGACTTGGCCCCTAATGGCACCAATTCCATCTTTGCCTTTGATAACTCACTATCGAACAACAGTGTCCCTTATAACAAGACGAACCCTTTCCTCAATGATGAGTTCTCCAGCCTACAACCCTCTCCTATTAACCCTTTCAGTGCCTTTTTTGACAAAACCGACCTTAAAACGTCCCAAGGCATTGGCGTGTGTCCAGAATCACCGAATATGTCCAGCTTCAGCTCACCATTCTTTGAGTATCAAGACGATAATATCAAAAAGGAATCTATTTTGCTTTTTTCAGCTCAAAAGGACTCTGCAATTGGAAACGATAGTGTCCCACCAGGCTTTCCTCTGGATGGTCTGGATCAACTCAAGAATATACACATCTCTGACCCTGAACATGATGGTAGTCCTACACTACCAGATGATTCAGTAGATGCAGTTTTCTCAGATGATTCCAACTATGAACCAGACCACATGACTCCCCAGGAAGGCTGGCCCATGCTCCTGCGCATCCCTGAGAAGAAGAACATCATGTCCTCACGTCATTGGGGGCCAATATTTGTCAGATTGACTAAAAGTGGACAGCTGCAACTTTTCTATGAGAAGGGGCTAGAAAAGCCCTTCAAAGAGTTCCAGCTGAACTCCCAGCATGAGATATCTGAACCCAAGCTCCAGAACTACGACGAGAATGGTCGGGTTCACACCATCAGTTTAGACAATGTGGTTTACAAGGAGAAGAGGAAAATCCAGCCCAAGGTCACTGTGGTTCATTTGCCCATAAGAGAGCAAGTGGTGAAACTTGGGACCACAAACTACCAGGACTTCTTGAGCTTCCGTCATGCTCTGCAGGAGAGCCTTGTAGGACTCTCGGTGGATCAAGAAGGTCTCAACTGGCCAACGACTTACACTGACGAGGAGGTCCACGTGGAGGTGAGAGACAACTTTTATGGGATTCTGTCCAAAGGGGACGGCCGTATCTTGGAGCAGCTAGTTTTGAGCCGAGTGAACATGCTAGCATTCTTGAATGGATCTCCACCTTGTAGTATCGGCCTAAATGATATCCAGGTCAAAGGTAAAGAGGTGGTTTCTCGGCATGACATAATTCCCAACACAACATCACGTTGGATTCAACTGCGGGATTGTCGACTGCATGAGTGTGCAGACCAGTTAGAGTTCACAGAGTCCCGTGCCATTACGTTTAGTCCACCGATTGGTCGTCGCTTTGAACTACTGCGTTTCCGCACTGCGTTCGCAGAAAAATCCCTTCCCTTCACCCTAAGAACAGTCGCTTGCGTCAGGGGTGCGGAAGTGGAGGTTCAGTCATGGCTGGTGATGTCAACAGGGTTCACATCCAATCGGGATCCTTTAACTTTAATACCATGTGAGAACGTTGCTATCCGTTACCCCATACCAGAAATTTGGGCAAAGAATTTTAGGCGGGAGAGTGTGACAGGAGAAAAGTCCCTGAAGGCTCGATTCAATAAAGGAGCCAGCTTTGGTTCAACCAGCACATCAGGGTCCGAACCAGCCATGAGGGTCACGATCGGCACAGCTAAATACGAACATGCCTTTGGGTCTGTGGTGTGGAGGATCAGTCGCCTGCCAGACAAGAACTCAGGTGAGAACTTAGGTCTGAGTTTGAGGTAGCTATGGTGTCGAATTGTGGGACAACAGGAATTATCTTGGCCCTTGAAAAAGTTTTGAACGCAGTAGGGGTGTAACGGTACATGTATTCGTATTGAACCGTTTCGGTTCGAGGCTTCCGGTTCGGTACGCATACAAACCGAACGATTGCTTGGACCATTTTTCTTGCCGGCAAAATTCGTGCTGACGCGGCCAACACAACGTTGCGCAACATCCAAATGGCAAGGGTAATGAAAGCAGAACGAAACTGCGCTCCTCGTTATGTGCTTCACGGATCGTTTATCAGTTCGGACCAGCAACATCTGTGCAGCGCGAGCCGATCTCGATCAAGCAACACTGTTACCACACCGCGCTAAGAGATCCGGTAAAGAAAACATTTGAATTTGCCACTGAGGTAATAACATCGCTGCGAAAATCTAGTGAGATGCATTCACATTTCTACGTTATTAACCGTAGATCTCTATAAGATCAGACAGCGCTGTCATGGAAACCAGGAGAAACATTGTGCCGTGAATGAACTAGTACTTTACGTCCACAGACCAGCAACATTCACCATGGATTTAATATAGTAAGACTAATTGTAACCAGTTTGGCTGGAATGGTAAAATGCTTTCAAGTACTTCACACATCTTTTTCCAGCACTTCAAAATTCAAATATTATATAAATAAATATATATTTAAATGTTATTTTTAATGTGATGACCAAAACATTATTTGTTCATCCTTCAAAGATGACCCCTATTTATAAACCTGAAAGTTTCAAGATGTAGGAAAACTCACACTTATTTAAAAATATTTTTTCTTTAAACAAATAGGAAATTTCTCTGGCATTTCTTTCTTTTTGCTGTATCGAAAACGTACCGAACCGTGACTTTAAAACCGAGGTACGTACCGAACCGTGATTTTTGTGTACCGTTACACCCCTAGAACGCAGGTATCATCGGTTGTTTCGAAGTTACAAAAGTAGTTGAGAAGTGACACAATTATTGTGTTTTCATAATGAATCAATTGCTGCCACTGACAGTACTCATGCTCTTCCCTGTTTTGTCAATTTATTGATCTAAAAATCGAAATAGTTAGTGCATTAGCATAGGATAGCCATGATGATCTGCTCTCTACATTAGAGGTTAAACTGATCTTGTTCTCCTTTGTTACTCCCATGCAATATCAAAGTGTGTTAGAGCTGTTTTGTTTTATCTAGCTACTGTATTTCATTAGAGGGAGGTTAGATCAATCAAGTCAATAAATGAACCAACAATTATGTCACTGTGTAATGATTTTTGCCATTGCTCTGTATGAAAGATTATGAAATTATGCCAATATTTGAAACGCTACTCTTATTTTAGTGTGTTTTTCTCTAACATCATGATTAGAATATTAGTATAGATAGTAAAATAATGATTTTTGTGTTTTGATGCTGCTGAATAAATCCTCACAACCCCCCAAATCACAATGCTGCAGTAACAAGCCATGCCTCCAATGCAGTATTGACTCTCAAAGCAAGTGCAGTGGTGTAGAAATAATCTTTTATCCTTTTTGTTGATTTTCTGTTGTCATAGCGTTTGCTTTGTGGCCAGTGCTGGTATTTTTTGTCTGTCAATGGCCAGTGCAGTGCTTTAGGCTTTTCAATACTACATCAGCAGGGATCCCCTCCCCCTGCATGAATCTGATTGGTTAGACAAAGCTCAAGCTGTCATTATCTGTTAATTCACAGACTCACTGTCTTTGAGCTTTACAATTCAGTGCAATTCTTTCTCTCTCCGTTCTCTGATGTAATGTATCAAATAATTAATAAAAAAAAAGTTAATTTACTCACCATCATGTCCTTCCAAACCCATATGACTTTTTTTTTTTTTTTTTTTTTTTTTTTAATAGACCATAAAAGGAGATATTTTGAATAATGTCTGTCAGGCTCCTAAAATACAAAAAAAAAAAAAACTCTATATAAGTATTATAAAAGTAATTCATATGACTCGGGTCGTGAAATGTAGTCTTCTGTAGCCGTACCATAGCTTTACAAGAGCAATGTTAAAGGATATGTTTAGGTTTAAGTTTCACTGAATATTAGTATTTTTTACATATTCAAATGTGTCAAGATGAACATAAACCAAAACTGTTTGACCTCACCGACATCAAGTCTGGCACACCTGACATTTCTTAAGTTATCTTCAGTTCATTTTAGCAGAATCGAGGCCAGTTCTGTGCTAATGATAATTTATACATTACGCAGCTCAGGTCCTTCATCTAAAAAGCCATGTACTGTCGTAATTTGCATTCATTAATTATTTGTTTTAATATGGCTTACATTAATATGGTTGTGGATGATATTTTTCGTAGCACTGGGACACCCTCATACGTTCTTCTGTCGTCTGGAGCTGGGCTCAGATTGGGAGGTGCCTTCTAAGTTTGAGTGCCTGGTAGAGGTTGAGTTTGACATGCCCTCTGCTTCTGCGTCCAAAGCCACCGTTCGCTCTCTGTCCGTGGGGGACAGAACTGACTTGAAGAAATGGATCACCTACAAATCACATTACTCCTACCAGGTAATTGTGTATGTGTGTGTAAGGCGCAATGAGGTCAAACTAACAAAACTATCCACACTTTATGGGTACACTGTGCCACATTGAATCAGTATAAATATAATACGAATTTAATGCATTTCTAAATGAAAATATGAACATTAAAGTCATCAGACAATCCACGATCCAATGCCTTATTTTGCTCCAGATTACTCAGATTTTCATTAACCAGCCACAAAAACAGATTAATATTAATTAATACATTTTATTTATAATATTTCAGTGCATAGTTGTAGTATTTGTAATAGTATTAATATAAATTGCTCAAAATATAACTTTAAATTATCAGCAAAAGTTTTTTTTAAAAGTGAACTAATCCTTTCTCACCCCCATGTAATCCAATACATCCATGTCAGTCTTTCTTCAGTCGAAAAGAAATTAAGCTTTCTGATGAAAACATTCATTAAGATTCTGATTAAAACTCTGTTCTGTGATGCACGTTGGTGACTCTCCTGTTCGAACTCGTTTATCAAAAAATGAACGAATCTTTGTTGTCATTTGGTTCATTCAACGAACGAAATGAATGAGTTGAATCGAAAAAAGATTCGTTCATTTTGATGAACGAGTTTGAATAGGAGAGTCATGAACGCGTGTGCATCACAGAACAGAGCAAGGCGAGCATTTGTGCTTATAAAACTTCAACTTTGTTATTTTTTTTTTTTTTAAATGAGTGATCATTTCGCTTGATAAGACCCTTATTCATCGTCTGGAATCGTTTAAAGTCCTTTGAACAGTTTGCACTGAAACTGTCTTTTGGACATTGAACCATTTGGTGCCCAGTAAAGTCCATCATATGGAGAAAAATCCTGGAATGTTTTCATCAAAAACCTTAATTTCTTTTCGACTGAAGAAAGAATGATATCTTGGATGACATGGGGGTGAGTAAATTATCGGCAAAAGTTTTTTAAAAGTCAACTACTCCTTTAAAAGTGCTCAATCGTAGGTAGTTATATATGATTGGTTCTTTCTAAATACTGTAACATCTCGCACATTTGCTAGATTAAAGGTTTGCGCATCCTACCCCACTCCCTACTAAATATGTGTTAGCACAGTGATTAAAGCTATGTTTATACCTTGTTAGATATTATACACCTGTCCTCACCCTCAATCACACTTTAGGAAAACGGGGGAATTTAATCTTGTTATTTAGTGGGGATTTTCAAGCCCTTCGGGACGGGTCTGAGCTAAATGCCATGTACCCTTGTGACAAAGCCACTGAAAGACAAGTTGTCACCCTCAAGCAACCTGCTATGTCAGCTGCCAGAGCTTGTTTTCCCTGCTGCATTCCGAACATGTCATTAAGGTGGCTGGAGCTGTTTTCTACAAACATCTGTTCCTATTACTGTTCAGCAGCCACAGGGAGTGATTCATCACTGAGCAGAGGTGCGCAACAAACAGCAGGGCGGCAGGAACAAGATGTAAAACTCTGCCTGTAACCTGCGAAACCTGCTGATGTAGCATCTTGCTGTATATGATAAATGCGACATAGCTGCATGGCAGGACAGTGGCAGAAGGTGTCTGAACCCCAGTGAGGTCAGTCATGGGCAGATTCAAATGGGATGAGCATGTGGAAACAGGTGATGCCTGAGAGGTTATTACTCCCAAAATTCCTTGCCTTGTAATCGACCGCCTCCTTGTGGCAAGCATTTGCTACTACTCGACTACTCACTTGCGCTTGCTTCTGTTTTCATGTAGGTGGCAGTCGAGCAGAAGAATGAGAGCACATTGGACAGTCCTCAAAACGAGAAGCCAGACGAGTGCACTCATCAGTGAGGAACCAGGAAGAGAGGAAGGGACACAGGTTGCACTTGTTGAACAAGAGAAAGTTCAACCTTGAACTAGTTTTCGTTTACATTTATTGTCCATTTGGGCAATATTTCGAAATTGAAACATATTCAGTAAGAATAAACACACCACAGACCCCTCGCAAAACACTACAGCATATTTCCAGATCTCCACCTTTTTTGCATGTCTGAATATTTCAATAAAATGAATCACCATTACAGCAAAGTACAGAGCTTTTTATTTTACAGACATGAAAACATTGTGAATAACTCCCAATCATCTCATTAAGTCCAATAATCATCTTTGCCTGAAACAATACAGCTGCCATCTGTACTGCAGAGATCACTGAGATTTTGTGTACATTTGTGTATATTTTGGCCTATGACGAGTCATTTGTGTAGGGTTACCGGGTATATTTTCTTGCTATTTAACTTTGTACAGAAAATAATGAGGGACTTGTTAACTAACACATTTCAGAACTGTTTTCAATTAGAAGACAAATAAGTAACTCACTAATTTCTCGTTAAAAATAAATGCTTTTATAATGTAATAATGTATAAACTAGTACAGATCTACTAGTGATGTGAATTGTTTACCTTAGATTTGTGTTCATGAGTCTATTAAAAGCACATTTTGATTCATTTTTTATGAATATTGATATATGAATTCCATTTACAGGCTTTTTTTTTTTCCTCACAAATTTCTAATGAAAATATAATTCACGTTCAATTGATCTTCAATCTTGAATTAAAATTTTGCCAAACAATGAGTTCTTAAAGCAGAGTATTCCTGTGAGGGGAAATTGATCATGTTTGTCAGAACCCTGTACTTTTCACATCTTGTTGAGTTTAACAATTACTCGAGTTCAAAAGGGGGCGTACATTTGTGTTAAACTATTGAAAACTGCTGTAATAATGTCTTTTTTCCCCCCCTTTTTTTTTCGGTGTGCTTTGAACAATTTTTCTTCACAATTCTTTTCTGGTGTACTGCATCATTTCACTAATGGGTGTTGACATTAAACTGATGAGTAATACATGTTTAAAAATATATATTTAAGATGACACTTCACAAATAATATTTGTGCATTGTTTCATTTTATGTTGTTTTGGTTTTGGGAATCGCAGTTGCTTTGATTGTTCCCCGTGCACAAACCTTGGATGATTTAAAAAATATATATAATGGATGTTTTATTCATAATTAAATGATTATGATTTAAGGTAGCTCTGTTTTGTCCTGTAACACAGAGGAATACACTCGATAGAGTGGTAACACTTTACAATAAGGTTTCATTTGTTAACACATTTAGTTCACATGATGAACAAAGAATGAACAATACTTTTATAGCATTTATTAATCTTAGATAATGTTAATTTCAACATTTACTAATACATTATTAAAATCATTTTTTTTTTATTTGTTAACATTAGTTAATGCACTGTGCACTAACATAAACAAACAATGAACAACTATATTTTATGTTAACAATGAGACCTTATTGTAAAGTATTACAGAAATAATTCTTAGTGTCATTAATTGTTTGTCTTGTTGTTGTTGTTTTTTTCCCCCTGTTTTTTTCAGGATTGATTGTTGTTGTTTTTTCTGGGTTGGTTTTCTTTTATTAATGTTTAAAAAAATTGATGTAGTATGGATAGATATGTTTTATTTTTTATTGTCTTAATAACTGTAATTCCACTAACATTCAAATAGGCACCTTCATCTCTCAACTGGACGGCATACAATAAAGTATGTTTAAAAAAATGCTACTTGCTGTTTTCCCTTTTTTTGATGTTGCAGATGATATGCCTTTATGCTATATGGTCTATGCTTTTTGTCATAAGTTTGAAATGAAAACATTTGCCATATGATCACAATATAATGCATGATTTTCGATCAACGGACATGCTCATTAACCTTTTAGCAAAATATATGAACTACAAGAGTTCACAACTCTCACATTTGTACTTGGATGCTTTATCAGTTTCCAAAATACTGTCAAGTGCCTCATCAGAGTTGCTCTACCTCTGATTCAGAGGTCTTTGACCGTTTTTACAACCAAAAAAAAAAACAACATATTGCATACAAGTGAATGCTAAATGTGTGTAGCCTAATAATGACTTGCATAAAGTAGCCTACCATATTCAGTTACATACTGTATATGATGCTTGCAAATTTGTAATGCCATTTTCATAATATATGTATGTATTGATACTTGTGCACTGTACATTGTCAATGTTAGACAGATGGCCCAAATGACTTTTCTTGATTTTACACTTCCTACTCCTTCTCAGCATTTCCTTTAATGTGTCCCATTATTCCCTGCAGGGGTATACATATGCTTTGCTACTGCTGTAATTTACTGAAAATGTAAATATAGGTTAAGTAAGCAATAACTGAATATTCCTTTGAATTATTAGGAAAAACGATGCACACACACCATTACACCTCGGGTGTGCATTATTTTTCTAATAATTCAACGGCCCGGAGTGATTCCGCTGAAATGCTACCACCTCAAAAATTGTTCAGATGATGTAAGACGTTTGTCAGGTCTTTGTCCTTAAAACGCTCTTGTGTGTGGCACTACCGTTAATTTACTTCGCATCTCATCTGAAGTCTCCATTGCTAATTCCAAAAAGACTTGAGTTAGTCCTACTATAAGCAGACCATTAATGCATAGTTATTAGAGAGAGTTAGGCCTACTATAAGCAGACTAATGCATATATTAGAGAGAAGAGAGAGAGAAAGTCGTCTGTGAATTAGGCTCAGTCTGTACGTCTCGTTTCAACAGTTTTAGGTAGTAGGCCTAGCAAAACTACTGCACCTCGCCAATGATAAACGTCATGTAGCAAAACGTTGCTAAACAATTTTTTTCTGATAAAATCGTAATAATAGGCTACTATGTAATTTTGAGGCAAAAAACGTGGAAATAATTTGTCGTTTTTATGCTATTGTTTACTATATTTATTTGCTCGGTCAGTGTCATTGTGACATTGGTTCTTTTGCTGTTAGGCTAGGCTGTAAAGACCTTTGAAATAACTGAACTAATTTGGCGAAGTGATTTTGAACTGTGATGCGGTCAAGACCTGGAACTACTTTAACCATTTCCCTGAAAATAATTGCACGCCTTAGAACGTTCGCCAACCAATCAGAATCAAGCATTTAACAGCCCTGTAATATAAAGAAAAATGTCATGAACCTGTTCTTTCTCACAATCTAACCTGAAGACGTATTACCCTCTCAAACCATAGTCAACATTTCATGCGTTTCCATAGTAACCATATTGAAAATTGAAATGCAGCAAAAGTGAAGGAAAGGTCCACTCGAGACTTGCAATTTTATTCTATTTCCCTATACAGGAGATACAAAGAAAATCCTGGATAGGATTGGGCGTTTTGAGCTTGATATTTTGGAAATGTAATAGCTTTGACCTAGAGTGAAATTGGGACTTTTTTTATTTTGTACAGCAGCAATTTCCCAGTGCTTGTCAAGTGACACTAGGTGAAGGAGATATTGATCTAGCAGAGGTTTCTCTCCTGCAGGGACAGCGCCTGTGAGGATTCTCAAATTCTTAATAATTCATTCTCTGTCTGCACATGCATAAATGTGATAGGGTGAGACTTCTTCAAGAGATGCAGTTGAACTGAAGTCATTTGAATTCAATATCTCCAAACCTCACAATGACTGTTTTATATGTTCATTGTTAGACTTTTTTCAATATTTATTTTAAATTTATTCCACAGCTAAAGTAGTGTAAATTTCTCTTTTTGCAATAGAGAAAAAGTTCAATTATTTATGTTTATATATTTTCAGTAGATAAACTGATTAATAGACCAATAAGTAGAATAAATTGTAAATAAAGTATAGGTAGATACAAATTTGATCGAAAAATAGATAGGTGGTTTTATGGATAGATATTGAATATAAAGTGAAACACTGTATACAAATAGGTAGACTGTATAGAGATACTGGATGGATGGTTAAATGCAAAGATACTGTATAGATTGATAGATGGGCAGATAGATAGATAGATAGATAGATAGATAGATAGATAGATAGATAGATAGATAGATAGATAGATAGATAGATAGATAGATAGATAGATAGATAGATAGATAGATAGATAGATAGATAGATAGATAGATAGATAGATAGATAGATAGATAGATAGATAGATAGATAGATAGAGACTGAGAGATGCTGAATGGATGGATGGATACAAAGAGTTAGCTGATGTATCGTACAGTCTGACATGAAATACAGTTGGTATTTTGTAGGCAAATTTTGATCAGAGTTATATTGTAGCCTACAGTATCTAGCAACAATTGCAAAGAAGCAAGTGTCGTTAGTGTGCTTTAGTTGTGTCAAGAACTCTTACCCAGCAGAGGGCGCCAACAACAAACTTTATTATAAAAAAATAGAGCGAGAGAACAACAGCTGCTGCACCCTAGTCCTCCACATGCTTTTCTTGGCCTACACTTTATAAGTGTTTTATATTCATCTGCACTATGTCATCAAGATATAATGTTGCCATAAGGGCAATAATGGCCTCGCTAACTGAACTTCTCAACTTTTACCGTTATAGGAGATGGAAAACTGAATAGATCAAAAACCACCTTGCTGTTTTTCTGGAAAACTTTCAAATTGTCTGTTCATGCCACATTTACATCAAAGCATGTGATGAATCCACATTATTGATTTCTTCTGGATGGGTTAGGGTTCTGTTGACGTGGGTGGCGTACAGCATGCGCTGCCAAGATGGCTGGCACGACCGTCTGGCCCACGAAGCCGAGGGCACTGTAGCGGATCTTAGCGTGTTTAGATGTCCTATGAAGCCGTCTGCCTGTTTGTTTATCAGTCTTTTCATTTGTCAATTTGCTGTCTGTCTGGGGACAGAAGAAGGTCAGGGAATACTGCCAAACCTCCAAAATGACCCTGTTGACCAATAAAGTGGCAGAGCAAATACTCGGATCACAGATCAAAGATTACTGTGTCCCTGGCGGCATCAAGGTCTGTGCACGATGTCTAGCATATACCTCCGTCAATTTAACATGAAAATTCGGTTTTCATTTATTCTTTCTTACTTTGTACCAAACCTGTCTAAGCACGAAAGGAAACTTTTTTCATATGTACAATTTACTAGTGCTTTCTATAACAATGAATGGGAGAGGCACATAAGCACCATAATAAAATATTGTAAATGTAGTGCGTACTAATAGTCCAAGCCTACGATAGCTATACCTTGAAGTTGTTTTTCACTGAAAATCCAGTGAACTATAGATTTGTGAATGAATTTTGTGAACTGAACAGTTTGAATATTGACCATTCTCTTACAGAGCTCTTCGGAAGACTTGTACTACTTTTATGGGGCTTTTTTGTGTCAACTTGGATATGAGTCATGTGGATTTGGATTACGGGAAGGTGAAATAATGACAGAATTCACATTTTTTGAATAAAATATTTCTTTAAACCCCCATAAATGTTCAGAGACATCCTTGGATTTATCTGAAGGAGCCCCTGAAGGCATTTTAATACCGTGACAGATCTCGACAACCCAAGGAAGCAGTCAGTCAGCTTTTCTGAAAGACAAGAAAAACAGGATTGTTCAAATATCAATTCTCTTCTGGGTCTTTTAATCTGGCCGGTGACCCACACCCCCTCGCCACTTAAAGCCATACATACACATCATCCCGCCCGCTGGTTAGTCCCCATTTTTGGACTGCACAGAGAGGTCCATACTGTACGTATGTCAACTAAGTTAGACATGCACACATCATTTATTCAGGCCAACTCCATAGTGGTTTATTTCTGTCGTGTGTGTGGCCAGAACAGATGGCCAAGACGATCCGTCAAACACATTGTCCATTGTATGCAGCCGCACAGAGGTTGTCTCTGAAAAGCGCCATGGTCTAAATCTACCGAGCATTGCCCTAAATCTGTAACCTTTACTCGTCTCTATGATCATGTTCACAAAGTGCGTTGCTTCGTGTTCTTCCAATGTAAATATCATGTTGGACCGTTCCAAAGGAATGGAGAGCCTGTTGATTTTGGCCCTGTGTCTGTGTAGCTCTGTGCTTGTTGTGATAGCTCTGATGCCATAAGAATTTTACAATGGCTCTGCTGTTGGTCTTTGCTGCTCCGTCACCTTAAAGCTGATGACCTCGCAATGGCCATTTAGACTGCTTTAATCCAGAAAAGCCTGTGTATTTGATGGTTGGCCGCAGAGTAGGCTCTTGCTTTCCTCGAGAATGTAATTGTCTCCTCAGAATGGACAGGCCTTATTCGCTGCTGTTAAGCTCAATAGTTCACATTGTAGAACAGTTGCTATTGTAGAAAGGTCACTGCGGTGCTCACTCACTCTCGCCAGACACTACAGCCTGACAAAAGCTTCTTTGATTGAGTTTTAGTGGTGAGCTAGGTAATCTTAGAGGCTTCAGACCCTTTCTGAAGAGGTCAGGGTTTATCTTTTTTCGTGGAAGATCAAGAAAGAAAAATATTCTATTTGAATCTATTTTGCGGCCTAAGAAGTCATTGATGAGCTGTACAGTCTCTTTCTTAGAAACTCTTATATGTCCGTATGAATGACCAAATATATCTGAAATAAAAAATAATAATAAAAAATATATATATATATATATATATATATATATATATATATAAATATAACTTTATAAAAAAATACACTGCCAGGCAAATGCTTAAGAGTCAATGATTGGATCATAATTGCAGTGATGATAGTTTCTATCATGTTATATGTTTGGGAACAGTT